AAAATTATTTAAAAAAATTTTTATTAAATTTGATCAAGTTTTTGTTAAGTTATTCTTGTTTAAAGTTATAAAAAAAATTTATTATAAAAAATTTGCTTGATTTCTATTAACTCACCCCCAAATATTGGTAGAGTTATTAATTTTTTTCTTTTCAAACCAACTATATTATTAAAATTTAACTCTTTCTACATGTATTTTAGAGAATACCCAACTTCCAGTGATGATTTTCTCAAATTCTACTATGCTAACATACAAACTTTCATTAATAGCGCCTTTAAAGTAAATGTGGGGCTATCAGAATCTCAAATTTCAAGCAAAACGGATTAAAACTCATGGATATATTACGATTTTTGTAAAGAATAGACACTTACATTTTTACAAATTTTTCCTTAAAGAAAAATATAATTCCAAAGACTTTCTCAAAATAAACTATACAAACTTTCATTAATAGAATTGGTAGGTGTGATACTCAACTATTCTCACTGAAAATTCCAGACCTCTAGCATTAATATTGATGAAATGATGAAATTTTTCATAATTATTTTTAGATATAAAAATTTTTGATGAAAATGTAAGAAAATTCTTCCTTTGACTCCAGATTTCAAAAATCTACATAATAACTTATATTCAAATTTTATACACCATTTGAGGAGATTAGTAAAATTCTTCCTATAAAATTTGACGGAGTTTAGATTAATATTGGTGGAGATCTTTAATTTTTTTACTATAAAAATATCTATCTTGTCTTTGTAGATCACTTTGTATATATATTTTGATAGTTTTTTGATTATAGAGAAAAATTTTATTAATAAAATAATAAAAATGGTCTTATGAAACTAATATTTTTTTTGAGCATTCTACAATGTTTATTATGAACATATAAATTATTTCACTAATAAAATTTCAAGTAAATTACATTTTTATTCTGATAGCAATTTTTACTTATTAATTAATTTTTATTATATCTACTAAGTACTTGAGTACCTAGTAGATTTTTTATTATGTAATTAAAAACATGACTAATATTAACTCAAATACTCGTTTTAGAAATTTTAATTTTACTTTATATGAAAAACTTGATACTTTAAAAAAACATATTACAAACCTTTTTAATAAAGAAACATGTTCTTTTTCTATTTTAAAATTTCAATTTGAATTTAACTATAACTCTGATGACGTTAGAAAATATCATGCACAAGGATTTGCAAAAATATGTAAAGGGCAATTACGTCTTGGAAATTTTAATTCTAAAACAAATAAAGGTTCAGGAATTAAAAGAATTTTTAAGACAAATATTCATTTAAAATTTGCAAATAGAAATGATGAAGAATGCTTAGTTTATTGTGAAAAATGCTATAATCATTGCAAAAATCCAGCTCATAATTCTAATCCTAAAAAAGGTGAAAAATGTAAATGTAATTTTAATGATTTAACTGAATTTTGTAAATTTTGTAATGAAAATTGAGAAAGAACTTTTGTACGTATAAGTGAAGATTCACAAGTTGCTAGTCCTTTTCTATTTATTTTTGATAAAACAAAATTTAATAATAATGAAGAAGATAATAATAATGATAATAGTTATCAAAAAGTAGTTAAATAAGTTTTAAATAGAGAAGATATAGATAAAGTTATTATTAAATATACATCAAAATGCAAACATTGGGCTAGAACATCTCAAGGTTTAATACAAATTGCTAAATCACTAAAAAAACAAACAATAAATCCATTAAAAGAAATTAATCAATTCTGGGAACCTTGTATTATATATATTTATGGAGATACTGGAACTGGAAAAAGTGATCTATGTAAAGATTTATTTCCTGAAATTTATGAAAAAGATGATATTAAACAGTTTGAAAATTATAATACTGATGAATTTAATTATTATCAAGATACTGCAATTTTATTGGATGATTTTTATAGATCAAATATTAGTTAGACAAATTTTTTAAGATTAACAGATCGAAATCATTGTATGATGGATATTAAATATAGAAAAACAAAAATTGTTACAATGTATATTTGTATAACAACAAATGGACCAATTGAAAATCTATATAAAAAATTACGAGAATATAATTTATCAATTGATATTGATGCTTTTATTAGAAGAGTTAGATTTATTATTAAATTTAAAAGAAATCCTATTGATTCAAGAATTGAAAAAGAAGATGTGATACATATCTTTGAAAAAGGAAATAAGTAAGATTTTAATGATAGAATATTTGATATTGAATTTAATAAAGATACAACTTTTAAACAAGTTGAGAAAATTACATTAGATTTAGAAATTGAGGGACAAATATTAAAAGACACAGCAACAAATTTATTTTACTGGAGACAAATTTGGAAGAATAAAATAAATAAATATTCTATTATTGAAAATATTGATGATATAACTGATAGAGTTATAACTAATATTCCAAAATCAAATCCTGAAAATCAAATTATAGTTGCATCAAGTGATGATAAAAAAAATAATCAAAAAAATGACTCTCAAATAGAATCTTCTAGAAAAAATAATAAAATAGATGAAAAGAATATTCTAGAAAATAATTTAATCGAAACTTTAAAAGAATATAATAATCAAATACAAACTAATATTTTAGAATTAGAAATAAACAAAAAGAAGAAATACAAAATAATTTAATACAAAAATATCATGAAAGATATAATTCAGATATATCAGAATATAACTCTGATGATTCAGATTATATAAAACAACAAAAGAGAAAAAACAAAATTCTAGGAAAAAGAAAAAATTTTGATGAAAATAATATTGAATTTGATAAAATTGATAAACAACAACTACAAATTCAACAGAATTATCAAGAAAATTTATTAAATAAGCGACAAAAAAAAGATGAAATTGATAATTTTAATTATAATGAAGAGATAAAATTAGATATTAAGTATGTTGAAAATAATGAAAATTTACCTATTAAATTTGCTAGAATTAACCAAAATAATTCATATTTAAAAGGTTTAGAACGACTTCTTAAAAAAGTTTAAACAATTAGTTAATTTTCTTTAAACAGATATTAAACATTATTAAATTCTGTATAATATTTTTATTATAATATAATTTATATTTATTATTTTTTTATTTATTTATTTATTTATTTTTATAACTTGTAAAAATTTACAAGAATTTTATTACAAAATTTAATAAAATTATATTTTTTAGAAAAAAATAAAAAGTTAAAGTTTTTTTCAATTTTATTTTCTATTAATTCTGCAAGTATTATAAAGTATTTGATATTTTTGAGAAAGAGAAGTTAATTTAATTTCAAGTTCTCAAATTTTCTCTAACAATTTAATATAATTTTTTTGAATCTCTTTAAGTGAAAAATCAGTAATTTTGTACATTTAATATGATTTCTATCATATCTTTTACAAGAATTTTTATTTAATTCACATTTTCTTTTAGCAATTATACAAGTATAACAAGGATTTTTTGTGTATAGTTTTCTTATTTTCATTTGTTTCATTATTTAATTAGATTTTTAATATTTATAAAATATATTTTATTATAATTAAAAAAAATAAACAAATTTGTTTATATATATGATTTTTTTTTAAAAAAAAAACATTTATAAAACAAAAAAAATTTTAAAAAAACAAAAAAATAAACGAACAAAAAACAACAAATTATTAATTTGTGATTTCTTCAAATTGCTCAACCATTCTATTATATTTAGTATTTAACTTATAGTATTTATCTTTGAACTCTTCACCTTTTTTCTTCATAGACATAATGGCATCGTATAAATTTTGATTTTTTTTGATTTTAATCACAGATTTAATTTTTTCGAACTGAGCTGTAATATTATCACATAACTTGCATTCAGGCTGAAACTCGGCTATTTCTTTTCGTAAAGCAAGCAAAGAACCTTGCATTTCATGATTTTTCTCAATAACATCATCAATATTTTCTTGTAAAGACATCTGTAAAACACAAATAACATTAGTTTTTTTGATTAAAAATAAAAAAAAACAAAATATATAATATATATCATAGTTAAAAACACAAAAAAAAACAAAAGCCGGCAAAAAGAAAAAATGCTAAAAATAACATTTGATAATCAAGTTAATTATAGATAGTTGATAGCTAATAATATAAAGAAAGAAAACTGATAACTTCTATAATTAAAGTGATTGAAGGGATATGTTTATAATAGCGCGTATTATTCTAATCATATAATATAATAAATAAAGCAAAAAACAATACTAACTCTTAAAAGTTGTTCATTTGTCTAAAAAAAACAAAAGCTATTAGATATATATTTTTATAAACTAAATATTAAAAAAATATATAAAGTTATCATTATAAAAACTGAAAAAAATCAAGTAGCACTTATCGAAGTTTATAAGCCAAAGCTAGCTAGACTTGTGCTATCTAATCACTTAGGTTCTGGTTACCCAAGAAGAAGATAAACAAGAGCTCTTATGTTTAACCAGTATACTAATCATCTAATATTAAGTGTTTTTATAAAAATATAGAAACTTACTTCTTTTATGAAAATAAAATTGTTTTCGTAAAAGATAAAAAATTTTTTTTTGTAAAAAAAGATGATCTAGATTTAATAAATAAACAAAATTATATGATTAACTTGAATTATAAATATAGAATGATAATTGTAAAATCAAACCAAATTTAAATATTTATCAAAAATTTCAAGTATATGATACTTATATAATGTAAGAATTTCAATTCAGTACAAAAAATAAAACAAATTTAGTAATATGGCTTTTCTTATCTAATATAGATTATAAATATAAATATTCTAAATTTTTGAAAAAAAATGCTTAACAAACCAAACAGATAAGCCACTATTAAATACAAAAAAAGAAAAGAGGTTTGTTCGTTTGTTAAAAAAAAAGATTTGTTTTTTTTTTAAAAAAAAAGTGACATTTATAATATATATTATTAAAAAAAAGATAATCATAATTTAAAATATAATAAAAAATAATAATCTTGACTAAAAAACAAAATAAAAAAAAATCACATAATAAAATATAAATAATTACAATATATAATTATATAAATCTTTAAAATAATATTTGTATAGTTTGTATTTGAATATAAAGAAAATATTTAAATAAAAAATAGTATATTGTATTTTAAATTTAAAAATAAATACTGGCTTGTGAGATTTGATGAAAATGAGATAAGCATTAATTTGTTTGTAATTTATTACAAACAAATTCATGCTATCGAGGCATTCGTCAAATCATAACAAGACACCTAATACTATGCTTATTTTGCCAAAAGGCTTGAGAGGATGTGCTGTAGCAATGCTTAGAGGTCTGGGCCCCAAGCAACACCAGCACTGTTAATTTAGATTTAATTTATACTTGATAATCTAAATAATGAGCGAATATATTAAATTTATTTATATATTTGATAATTTAAATAATAAGTGAATATACAGCTTAAATTAGACCTACATATATTCTATTTATAGATTTTTGTTTATATATATTCTAGATCTATTAATTCTAGATCTATTGATTTACATATTTGTTTATCAATGTTTATATTATTATTTATATTTACATTCCTTTTTTTTTGTAAACACCTTTTCTAAACACTTTTTTTTTAAACACTTTTTATAAACACTTTCGTAAATATTTTTCTTAAACACAGTAGATATCACTAGGTAAGACCTAAATATTTTATGGTTTACAGATCATAAAGTGTCATTTAGACCACTGGAGTTGTAAATCTTGTACCACTGATAAGAGTTGCTAGATTACCAATAAAAATCACAGCTAAATATTTAGAGTTCTTGTTATATAGTATTGGTTTTCTTAGTACAACTCTCGATAAAGAAACACTTTGGGTTATCTGATAGTTTTCTTTATTGTAAGGTGCTCTACATGTGAAACGTCTAGTTGTTTAG